CTAAACCAAACTACCACTAGTTTGGTTAAGGAGTCGAGTGCATCCATCACAACTGCCGACATTGTTTTCTCCCTAAGACCTTTAGTTTTTTCTAACCATATTTCTACATGCATACCTTTATTCATAATTTCTCCTGGTTTTCCTATTCCTGAGTACTAAAACTGGGTGCAGCGTCTTTCACAAGCTTCTTCACTTCCAAGGTTATACCCTCTTATCTGCCATTCTGGCTTCAAATCCACCCACGCGAATGGCATTCTTTGCCATCAGTATCCAAGTACATGCATGTTCCCAAGCCTTCCTCAGGGTACTCATCCTTCAGCTGCTCACTGCCCACAACATTCTCCTCTTGCGGTACAAAGTGGACTAAACATCAAACATCCACTTTTTCAGCATCCTCTTCACTTTTGTTTAATCCTTCCCAGCAAAAATTTTTGAGTGCAATTTGTTTTGTTTATGACAAGCAAAGATTCTTCCTTGCCACCAGAAATCCCCTTCAGCCCCAGTATTGCAGTTCATATCCTTACTTTTGATGGAGAGCCTAACTCTTCTGGATTAGTCCTGCTGCTGGACCATTACTTCTTGCAAAGAAGAAATTCCTTGGGGCGAAATGTGAACATCTCCAGCTGCCCTGTGTCATTGAATCCTTATACTGCATGCCTGTTGTTTCTAGACTCACCTGCCTACAACTGACTCAACTCACTACAATCATAGAATAGTTTGGGTTGGAAGGGATATCTAAAGGTCATCTAGTCCAACCCCCCTGCCGTGGGCAGGGACATCTTCAACCAGATCAGGTTGCTCAGAGCCCCGTCCAACCTGACCTAGAATGTTTCCAGGGATGGGGCATCCACCACCTCTCTGGGCAACCTGTGCCAGTGTTTCACCACCCTCAGCATAAAACATTTCTTCCTTATAGCTGCCCCCCTTCAGTTTAAAGCCATTCCCCCTTGTCCTTGTCGCAACAGGCCCTGCTAAAAAGCTTGCCGCCATCTTTTTTATAAGCCCCCTTTAAGTACTGATAGGCTGCAATAAGGTCTCCCCGAAGCCTTCTCTTCTCTAGGCTGAACAACCCCAACTCTCTCAGCCTTTCTTCATAGGAGAGGTGTTCCATCCCCCTCATCATTTTCGTGGCCCTCTTCTGGACCCACTCCAACAGGTCCGTGTCTTTCTTATGCTGAGGGCTCCAGAGCTGGATGCAGTACTGCAGGTGGGGTCTCACCAGAGCAGAGTAGAGGGGTGGAATCACCTCCCTTGACCTGCTGGCCACGCTTCTTTTGATGCAGCCCAATATTTCCTATGAAATAAACGTGATGATATCTTTACACAAAGCAGTGATGCCACCCCAGTCGCCTTGCCCAGGGATCACCAAGAGACCCCTGGCCCACTGTCCCATCCCCCCCGGCGGGGTTTTGGAGCTACCCGTGCACCCACAGTCCTGTCCCTACCAGGTACCACGTGTTGCTGGCGGCTGGCTGGACTTTGGTGCGGAGGCCGTTGTGCACACGCACGCAGTCCTCGATGAAGGTCTTATCCGTGACGCTCGGTAAGGTGGGCAACTGGCCGGCTGCAGCCCTCAGCACCGGCGACAAGGCTAGCTCCGCCGCCCACGGCCTCATGGCCCC